TTATCATCATCCGTCACTGACTCTTGTATGAAGTGGTTCTCAATTGTTTACCACTAAAAGTGTGCTAAGGAGAAAATGCAGTAAAGTACAGCTTTATTTTTTTAAACTAATGAGAACATGCACAAAAGTGTACGCTGCTAATAATAAAATATGCTATGCAGAATGAAGTTTCACTGTTAATGAGTTCAGAATGCTACAAGAACAGTTGCAACTTAAACTTACAAAAGAGAAAGTGGGCTACAATAACACTTACAGTTTTACATTGTTAATGAGTTTAAATGCTTTAAAAAAAAAACAATAAGAAATTAATGTTGTTAAGAAAATGTGCTTTAACAACAAAAAATCTTGCAGCCCTACATTTTTAATTAGTTTAATTGCTGGAAAAACAGTCACCACATAATGTTACTCAGAATACGTGCTCACAAAAACACAGTTTTATTCTGTACAACTCAAATACTAGAGATTTACAAATATATTGTTGTTTAATATTCTAACTGTATATATACACATTTATCTGACTTTTTATGCTCCGCAAAGGCTTTCTGTAGCGAAAAAATATTCTTTTCTTTAGGTGTTATTTATTTTGAAGCAATTAAAATCTTGTGCAATTTGGGCTAGCATACCTTGGTGCATCAGTAATATTGAAATATACTGAAACTATCTTTCAAATCAAATATGCATCAAAGTTTTTACTTTTGATGCGTAAACTTATCAGTCAATCAAGTGCCATCTCCACATTGAATGTTGGCTAAATGTATATCCATCATTCTCTGTATATTGCTATGGTTGTACATTCTACAGACTACTGTTTGTCCATCTTATTTGTCCTTCTACTCGTATCGCTGATTACATCTTGTTCTTTTGCTATGGACTTTTACCTACAATATGATTTTTAAAAGAATGTTGTGTCTTTTATTATGGTCAAAATATTTCACTTATCTCAATTTCTTTCAGTATTTCTTTTTTTTATTCAATGTCTCTCTACAATCTCTCTTTTTTGGATGTTTTTGTTTCTGTGAAATATGACCTACTTTACTGTATATCTAGATCTCCTAAGATTCAAATTTATTTTATAGATGCTTTTTTCATTGTCCACATTTCTTCATCATACAGTAGAATTGAGCATCCATAACCTTTAACAATTCTCATTTTAATCTGTTATTAATCACTCTAGATGTAAGTAATTTGGATGTTTAAGATATTTTTTATACAATTTTTGTATAATTTCTATTTCTGAGTAATGATTTGGTATCTGGGGCAAAAATATATTCTAAAATGCAAATAATATCATAAAGCCAAATCAAAATAAAAGCGATAGTCCCGTATACATACCATCATCTATCCGTTAATAAGTTAAGCACACTTATTTCTTTTTCAAGGCACATTTATTTTAACACATAATTATAAAAACTGATTAAATGTTATCTAAAATGTACTTGACTATAACTAGACTTGGGCTTTTTCGCCTTCTTCAGCACTTGGTCCAGGTTCGTCTACAGACTCTTGGAGAGGAACACTCTCTAGCTCATCAGAGCTAGGCCCAGCGGCTTCTCCTTCGACTTCAGCAGGTCCAGCCTTGGCTGCCTTGGGTTTGGGTTTGAAGAGTTTTGGTAGTTTCTTGAAGAACTTTGACTTCTCAGGTTTCTTTTCCTGATGGAAAGACATTGTGGAGATTAAATATAAATCGCAGTTGTGCTGATGTATTGCAAAAATGTATCTCTCATTATGTAATTCTGAAATACCTGGTTCAATTCTAGCAGTAGAAAATTTGACAGCAGACAGCTTCGCCTTGATTTCAACAATGGTATGAAATGCCGACCGTTTATTGAGCAGTGGAAACCTGCATTATGTGAAATTGCCTAGTATAAGTTCATGTTGTCTCTGTGTAATTATCTCTCCTTTTAGTCATTAACTCTTTCAGTGCCAAACAATTCGCTATTCATTTCTAAATGTTTCCAAAGATAATATAATGTTGTTATTTTTTTTTTATCACAGGTCAATGTTATATTAACCCTAGGGATCTTAATTATTACTTGATTTCTTATTCCCCATAGTGTCTCTGTTGAATTCTTTTAGACATAAGCATATATAAGCCCCAGCCTTTGGTATACATAGAGTTGAAGTAATAAATAGCTGGTACTGAAACCGTTGAAAGTTGAGGCAGTACAATAGTTGCTGTGACATGTTAGATTTTAAAATATTCTAGTCCATGACATAAAATGTGGAAAGACCGGTTCACTTCTTCATCGTCATTCCTTAGTAGACTATTCTGATAAACATTGGAAATTCACCGGTTCCCATTTTCTGAGACTTTCAATGCATAATGTGAGATTTCTCCTCCTTATTCCCACTGCTTCTGCATATTAAATGTAAACTATAAGGGTGGAAATAAGGATAGGCAGTTTTGTGTTAAAATCTTAGAATACCATGGGCCAAGGCGAATAAAAATACCAATATCCTACATGATCTGAGAAATCAAGGAGAATTGGCTCATAAACAGCATCATATCCCAAAAGTTGGTGTATTTTGGCTATGTTAAGTGACGGGGTGACCGGAAGAGAACTGTGATGGAGGGTGCAGTTTCCCATAATCGAAGCCTAGGTCAATCAAGAACTGTGATGGAGGGTGCAGTTTCCCATAATCGAAGCCTAGGTCAATCAAGAACTGTGATGGAGGGTGCAGTTTCCAATAATCGACACAGATGCCGATCAAGAACTGTGATGGAGGGTGCTGTTTCCAATAATCGAAGCCTAGGTCGATCAAGAACTGTGATGGAGGGTGCTGTTTCCAATAATCGAAGCCTAGGTCAATCAAGAACTGTGATGGAGGGTGCTGTTTCCAATAATCGAAGCCTAGGTCGATCAAGAACTGTGATGGAGGGTGCTGTTTTCCAATAATCGAAGCCCTAGGTCGATCAAGAACTGTGATGGAGGGTGCTGTTTCCAATAATCGAAGCCTAGGTCGATCAAGAACTGTGATGGAGGGTGCTGTTTCCAATAATCGAAGCCTAGGTCGATCAAGAACTGTGATGGAGGGTGCTGTTTCCAAATAATCAAAGCCTAGGTCGATCAAGAACTGTGATGGAGGGTGCTGTTTCCAATAATCGAAGCCTAGGTCGATCAAGAACTGTGATGGAGGGCTGTTTCCAATAATCGAAGCCTAGGTCGATCAAGAACTGTGATGGAGGGTGCTGTTTCCAATAATCGAAGCCTAGGTCGATCAAGAACTGTGATGGAGGGTGCTGTTTCCAATAATCGAAGCCTAGGTCGATCAAGAACTGTGATGGAGGGTGCTGTTTCCAATAATCGAAGCCTAGGTCGATCAAGAACTGTGATGGAGGGTGCTGTTTCCAATAATCGAAGCCTAGGTTGATCAAGAACTGTGATGGAGGGTACAGTTTCAAAAAATCGAAGCCGAGGTTGATCAAGAACTGTGATGGAGGGTACAGTTTCAGAAAATCGAAGCTGAGGCCGATCAAGAACTGTGATGGAGGGTGCTGTTTCAGAAAATCGAAGCCGAGGTTGATCAAGAACTGTGATGGAGGGTATAGTTTCAAAAAATCGAAGCCGAGGTTGATCAAAAACTGTGATGGAGGGTACAGTTTCAGAAAATCGAAGCCGAGGTTGATCAAGAACTGTGATAGAGGGTACAGTTTCAGAAAATCGAAGCCGAGGTTGATCAAGAACTGTGGTGGAGGGTACAGTTTCCAAAAATCGATGCAGAGGCCAATCTCTGTGAAGGTGGATACAGGATACTGAAGGTGCACAGGCTATGAAAGTCAATGGGGCTGGAAAACTTGCTAGAAAAAGAGATACTTTCAAGCATGTCATGAAGAGAGCGATGTTCTGTAAAGGATGGCTGATTAATGATGAACCTCTTATTTGATGACTGAGAAAAGCCATCAATCTATCTAAACAAGAATGAGCGAGTAATGATACTGTCAGACAGATTATGGGAGCAACACTTTGTACTAGATTCACCATGAAACAGCATATCAAATGGTTTGGCCATCGTCTTAGAATGCAGTGCAGCAACATAAAATACTATCACAAGCACCATATATCAGAAGATCAGCTACAAGATCATGAGGCTGGCTATAAAAAAATATGGATTGACAAGCTTTAAAATCTCTTTGCGCTTTCAGGACATGACAATAACCATTGGCAGACAGTGTGCATGGACTGCAAATAATTCCTCCCCATGACGCTTAACGGCAGAGGTGTATATGATTCTGATTATATCCAAATTCACCTTATATTACCCTTGTTTTGAACATCTAATAATATGTTGTGACAATGTGTAAGTAAAACAAATAAAGGACAATTTTATGCCTTTGGTTAATCAGGCATATGATGTTAGACCCAAAGTTTCAGAGACCAGTAAGCACTCAATAGCATAAGTGGTCAACAAACCCCCAACCGTCTTCTTTTCCCTTGACATTTCCACATACCTATATGGGGGTATATGGGATTGAATGTGGTAGTTGGGATTTGCCATTTTGTCCTGCCATCCAGGCTGCGATTTTGTAATCTCAGGTTCTTAAAAGTTCAAGTTGCAGCACAGAAAGGAAAAACAAAACAACATGCAAGGTCACTACTCGCACATCAGACACTTTGAGATTTATATTTTTTTAAAGATATATAGAACGGCTTGCTGTCATAATTAAATCAAACTGCTTAGTGCACTTAGAAAGGGAGTAAATTCCTTTGTAAAATAGGGTGGCATCTCGCAATGAGTCATAATCTTAAAATATTTTAAAATCTTCATTTATATAAAATCCACTATTTTCTAAACACAATTTAAGAATAAACAAACAGGCATCTGACAAACTTGATTCAAAATTGCAGCCAACATCAGAGTGATAACTCAGAATAAAATCCAGGTTCAGTATAGATTCAGCTATCATGTTAAGAATTTGAGAAAAAAAATATTTTTTTTCCTCCGAATAAATAGATAAATAATTCTAAAAACTGATTAAATGTTATCTAAAATAGTGTGGACTAAAACAAGACCTGGACTTTTTCGCCTTCGTCAGCACTTGGCCCAGGTTCTTCTCCAGCATCTTCAAGAGGAACACTCTCTAAACCATCTGAGCTAGGCCCAGCTTCTCCTTCAGCTTCAGCAGGTTCAGCCTTGGCTGCTTTAGGTTTTGGTCTGAAGATTTTCGGTGGGTTCTTGAGGATCTTTGGCTTCTCAATTTTCTTACCCTATTGAAAAGATATTGAAAATACAATTAGAACATCGCAAAGATGCTGTTATCATGCAATAATATAATTTGCTATTTGATTACAATACTTGCATCTGCATGAAATTCTCTATTAGTCAGAATCTTTAAGTTGTTGATAAAGTCTTCAGTCTACATGTTTAATTGTATCTGTGTGTTTCCTTTCTTCTGCCTGGCTGAGCTACCTAATCATAGTGAATTTGCTTGAGGTCTCGGGTAGCTAGCGTCCTTTAGACATCTTCCCAGTAGATACCAGTGTATTAGGAAATAAAAAGATAGTATGACTGGCTGATTTTACATAACTTGGTGGTGAACTGTTCTTTGACAAACTAGATGTTGTAAGGGCCCTTTAGGGGCAAGTGAACAGTGTGGAAGCACAGATAATTCATCATGTCATGAAGAGAATTGTACATCTTTTAAAATATGTAGCTGGCACTATATACTCTATAAGTCTTTCGTTTTTTATATACAGTGGAACCTCGCTTAACGAGCATAATTCGTTCCAGAATCATGCTCGTTAAGCGAAACACTCGTTATGTGAAACAATTTTTCTCATATAAATTAATGTAAAATACGATAATGCGTTCTCTGTTGAAAAAAATACTCACAAAATGCTATGTATAACGTTTATTCAAAGAAAATTATATGCATATTGTTAAGGAGAGTGAATCATCTTCATCTTTTCTTCAAACGCGGAACGAACCCACCAGGAATGTGAATTCGATTTGCAGAAAAAAAAAGTCGAAATCATTATGATACATTGATAATAATTTATTTTTTACTCGACAGATGTCCAGAGACGTTTGTTTTTGCCGGCGACTCAAAGTTTGGCGAAAATGCAACACTGTATTATCATTAAGAAATTTGCAATGCGCATAGCCCCTTCCTTATTAGGGTGAGACTTATCAATGTAAGATGCAACAGTTTGCCATGCTTTCAACATTTCTCTTTTTTCTCCAGAAGATAGTTGTTTTTCTGTTACCTCCTCCTCCTCTGACAAACTTTCCTCCAAAACTTCTTGCTGTGAAACACAATGTCACTCCATAAGCTCTTGGGTGGTCAGCTCTTGGCTGTGCTCTTCCACAAGCTCTTCGATATCTCTGTTATCCACCTACAATCCCATGATAGTGGCCAAAGACACAATCTCGTTGATTACAGGTTCCAAAGGTACTGTCTCGAACCCCTCAAAGTCACAAATCGACAAAGCTCTCCAGCCAAAGCTTCTTCTAAGTAGAAGTTAGGGTTCTCTTGGGAACCCCTTCCCCCGCCTTGTCTTGAGGCAGGCAGTGATGCGGAAGTGATTTTTCCAAAACTCTTTGAGAGTGAGGTTGGTCCCTTTAGACACCTGAAAACAATGCTCGAAGAGTGCTAAGTTAGAAATAACTTGCTGGTCCATGGGCTGGAGTAACGGAGTGGTGTTGGGAGGCAGAAACTGGATCTTGATGAACTCAAATTCTTCAGGGAGGTCATCTTGTAGGCCTGGAGGATTCACATACATATATCACAAGATAACACAAGTTTGAGAAAATGTGTGATCACAAGCGACACTACGATGTTACTGGAACAAGTGCTAAACACTGATGTAACGTGCGCACAATTGGGACTTTTTCTCTCCTCGCCACTCGTTATGCGAAACGTCGCTCGTTAAGCAAGTCATTTTTTTACAAATTGTTTTGCTTGTTATGCGAATTACTCGTTATGCAAGGTGCTCGTTAAGTGAGGTTCTACTGTACATGATCTCACACAGCAGCTTATGTACCTCATGATGCTTGATGCTATCATAAACACATCTATACTAGTACAGACTAGCAATAGAACTGTGCACCTGAACTCTTCACAAGTGACCATAATTTGTCTGAGTCACCTTTTTTTCCCTTACTGAATGGTAAAGTATGGACAATCTTGCAAGACATGTTCTGAAATAACTTTGGTGTACCACAACTGTATTTTTCCACATTTGTAGTTTTTATAACAGTGTTATATTTGGTTTCACTTCGTATAATTTGCATTTGCTTCAATTCATCTGTGACTTACAGTTGTAAAAAAAAAAAGTATTTCATAATTCCCATCTACCAGAATTCAATGCTGACTGCAAGCAATCTGGCATCAGACTGGTTTGCGTTGTCTATATTAGCCGTTTGAGCATCTAACCATTTAGAAAAAACAGTGACAGAATAATTAACTTAATTATGTAAAGGACCGTCATTCTCCAGAAACCATGGAGCGATTCTGTTGGGATGGTAGTCTCTGTCATTTAGTCTATGTAAAAACATTGACACTGTTATACTGAGGTTGGTTTTCTCTCAGCAGTCTCCTCTCTATAGTTTGCTGCGTTAGGCCTCTTGCAAAGTGCGATTGTCTGTCTTTCACCGTCTGCCTCCATAGGAGTTGAACTTTATCTGAATTTTTCCCTATTTCCATTTGACCCTACACAAAATCCTTTTGAATACAAATGAAAGTAAAATTAACGATGTGAAGCAGCAACACAAGAACCAAATACTGGCATTGGTTCACGATGCCATGACAAGGATGTGGAACTCATTCTAATAATTCATGCCCATTAACAATTCTAGGATATATGCCTATGGCACATCTTTCAATGCTGACACACTGACCTGCTTGGTGACAGCATAATGTAGAACTTCGATAACAAGGAAAATCATGGCTGCAATAAATCCGAGGAAGAGCAACAAGATGGCCACAGACATGTCCTTTAATGTGATTGGGTAGATCGGCAGGGAGCTTAGAATGCCACCTTGTGAATGAACACAATTTTCTATTCAGTCACTTGTTAAACAGAATAGAAGTTAAAATATAGTGGTAAAATGTCCACCTATAAATGAATACACATGTGAATCAAGATATATAGTGGCCACATGTCACCTATAAATGAATGCATACTTGAATCAAGATATATAGTGGTAACACATCACCTATAAATGAATGCATACTTGAATCAAGATATATAGTGGTAACACATCACCTATAAATGAATGCATACGTGAATCAAGATATATAGTGGTAACACATCACCTATAAATGAATGCATACTTGAATCAAGATATATAGTGGTAACACATCACCTATAAATGAATGCATACTTGAATCAAGATATATAGTCGTAACATGTCCACCTATAAATGAATACATACATGAATCAAGATATATAGTGGTAACATGTCCACCTATAAATGAATACATACATGAATCAAGATATATAGTGGTAACATGTCACCTATGATTGAATGCATACTTGAATCAAGATATATAGTGGTAACATGTCCACCTAAAAATGAATACATGCATGAATCAAGATATATAGTGGTAACATGTCACCTATAAATGAATGCATACATGAATCAAAATATATAGTGGTAACATGTGGCCTATAAATGAATGCATACGTAAATCAAGATATATAGTGGCCACATGTCACCTATAAATGAATGCATACATGAATCAAAAGATAGAGTGGTAACAAGTCACCTATAAATGAATGCATACATGAATCAAGAAATAGTGGTAACAAGTCACCTATAAATGAATGCATACTTAAATCAAGATTTGATATCTCTGTACTCTGGGCATTTCCATGCCTGCTTTGTCAGTGTCTCAAGAAGCTAATGCTGAGTTCCCATACTAATGGTGCCTGTTGCAGCCTGATTAGAAATATTTTTCCCCTGTGTGTTGAGGGTCATCCAGACCCTCTGCTCACACCTCGTTTGAACCAGTGTCTCCAGATCTGGATATTCTCTTTTGTGTCATCCATGTCCTGCTTTCACATTGTGGTAGATGTTGACCTCAACATCTTCTACCAGTCTGTAATTCACCACAGAGGGGGAATCCACAGCCTCCCATTTTTTTTTAGGTGTGACCCAGCCAATTATTATTAAGCTTTCATAGCATGAGCATTAAGAAAACAGTTGGAATACCTGCTCTTCCAATACTTCAGTGTTCACGATCTTGTTTTGACCCTTTATTTCCTACATTATTCTAAGAAACGGGTAATCAAAGCGAAAGGATCCTTCTCACGCCAGTGACATTCTAGGCATGTGTGTTAGACTCATATTTTGTACACACATTGAACCTTGACGGGTGATGTTGTCAAAGTCAAGCTGGCCGTCTTTACTTCCCAGGACTTTAACTGGAACCCATTTGAGGTCCGGTCGAACTGGGATCCAATATGTATTTTAAAAACAAAATATCTGGCTCGGCCCCAAGACCTTAGGACCAGCAGATGAATATTTAACCGCTGTGCAATTTGGCTCTCAAGAAGCATGCACTTTAATTAATCAAAGTGTATATCTCAGAAGTTAAACTGACAGCCCTATAAGACATAGTTGAAGTGAATGGGACAGAATGGGTCAATGCAACTGCTGGAAAAGTCATGTGGATTTATGTTATGCCAGCTAAAGACCTGGAGGGATCAATATTCAACACAACTTAATTTAATTTAATTTATTTATTTTACTTTCTTATATTTCTCTCAGCTCTGTTTTATTATGCTTTCTGTCTTATTTTATTTTGTAATATAACCCTTCATGTCCATATTTTTCTTTCATTATCTATTTCATGTTTTTATGTTGTTTTTTATGTTGACCTTGGTTGTTTAGAAGTTCCGTTGTCTTGTGCGTTGAGTTTTAAACTCAGAGTTGATGTATTTAGTAATCTCCATTGATAAAGTCTGGTCGAAGTATTCAGTTTTGTCTGTGTGCATGTAATTTCCATTACAACTATCTAGTTACATTTTATGTTGCATTTAGTACTTCTCTTCATCCACTTCATTTCATTGGTTCAACAGTGGTGACCCCTGATTATGCCTGCTGAACCAGTTAACATATGGTGAGTTACTAGGTACTGAATTAGTTAAGATTGAGACAGGATGGATTCAAAGAAAATGATTGGAGTCACTGAGGACATCTCGTCTGATAGGAATCAGTTCCATGTTTGTGCCAAGGCACTCTGGAGTAAGAGGGAATGAACAAGGTCACTGTAGGTACAGGACAAACAATAAACTGGACCGAAATTCTCGGTGCTCTCAAGGAGCCAGGACAAGATGATGATATAAGAGACCACAGTGAGTCTGCGACACTTAAAAGACTACAAGAACTTCAGGTCAAAAGAGATGTCGCCAAACATAAATACTGTACAGGTAGCCAAAGAAAAATAGTAAACTGACAGATCTGATGTTGTCAGTTGCCACACGCTGAGACACATACTGAAGATTGGATCAGATCACTTATGGACTTGTCGGCTATCCTCCGAATAACGGTCCCAAATTATTGAGGCCAAAAATATGCCTAACAGAGCCTCAGTCACGTGTCAATTGTGGACTTCCGTGGACTATACCGCCACCGCCGAATTGCGCACTTCCGGGAACTATACCGCCACCGCCGAGAGTATCTACCACACCGCGTGAGCGGCATGGATTGGGGCTAAACTAGATGGCTGTGACTCACGAGCAAATAAAATGAAAGAAGCTGCAGGAGATGCAGTAGTTGCTGCTCGTGAGTCCCAGCCATCCAGTTTAGCCCCAATCTAAGCCGCGTTAGCGGCGTGGGGGTTACTCTCCGCGGTAGCAGAAGCCGCCAGAAGTGTGCAATGTAAGTCGCAGGAAGTCCACAATTGACACATGACTGAGGCCCTGTTAGGGTATATTTTCGGCCTCGATAATTTGGGACCGTTATTCGGAGGATAACCGACTTGTCTTATGTATAGTGAGGATAATCTGCAGATTAACTACTTAACTAGCTAACTAACTAACTGAATCAGTTAAGATGAAGATGAAATGTTACCTGTCTGCACAAACTGCCTGCCATCAATATTCACGCACTCTCCACTAAAGCGCCAATACTGTTCTTTGAGCGACTCCAGAAAATTGTTTTCTCTCAGCTCTTCAATAGCTTTGTTGATCTTATTCCTGCAAAGTAAACACTACAGTTTTATTGTCCAGGTCACTAGAGAATGACATTAAAAAAGAAATCATTCTTATGTTGCGAAACGAAGTACGGGCTTGCTCCTGATGCTCAATAATCTTTAAGGAATGCACAACGATAGTAGCAGTTATCTGGTAATCTTAGTTTCAGCTTCATAGCCAACAGGTTTATCTCACAGTTGCCCCGCTCCTGTGCCAACAAACAACACACAGAATGTCCATCAATCTCCCTTGTGGAGAAATTGACACAGACTGCAGTCTCAGCATATCCACTAGCATACACACAAATTAAAAGCATAAGGCAGCCATCAGAAGGGCTAATACAAACAGTTCTACATTGGAAATGAAATGCACTTCATCCTAGCAGCAGCTACAAACAAATCAGCAGTTGCACACGCAGCCATTTCTAATGACATCAGGCACCACTAATTTTGTAGCAACAGTCAATTCGCCATTAATAAATTGTTTAAACACCACGTTGTTCACATTAAAAAAACATTCCAAATGAAAACCCCAGCTCACAGTGTCACATCATGCACTCATTTACGTATGTGGAAAACAAAACTATATCCTTTCACTCTACAAATGGAGGAAAAAGTCTGTCTGTAGAATATCAGTGCAGTAAACGAAGTCCGGGCACCGGCGAGGATCCTGAAATACTTTGGGTAGATTTTAAACCGTTAGGTTACTCTTTTCAAATTTCTACTGCCAAGGGATTTTTTTGTTTTTTTGACGTGTGCAAGAATGAAAACGGGGAACCAATCTTACTACCCAGAGACCAGAGAAAATTACTAAAAGTCAACGTGAAAAAATCCCAGCCTTGACCGGGGCTTGAACCCAGGACCTCCAGCACTCGAGGCAGACACCAGCACTCGAGACCACTCAGCCCCCTGAAAGGATAGTGAGTGAGGTCAGCAACTTCATTATCCTTCAGCACTAATGTTCGACTTCCATTCTAGACATTTTAATTTGTTTGAACCAATTAAGTGGCTTTCAGATGACGATAAGACAGCCGAACTGTAGAAGAGATGGGCGAAGTATTCTTAGTTATCCTTTTGTGGGGTGCAATTTTTCGTTATTTGAAGCCCTACTCTGGCTCTTGCCAGGGGCCGCAATATAGCCCGAATATGGCCTAATGGCTGAACGGGGTTGCAGTGACCTCTCCACGGGTGATCCTCATCCACATGGTGGTACTTTATGTCATCAGGTGTTTATCGCTTGTGTGATGTGCTGGTGGGGTAAAAGAAGATAGACAGATAGAGATGGGCGCCTCACCACGTAATATCCCCAGAGACAGCAGCGGTACACCGTAGCCAATCATCATTGTGGAGCGGCTCGCACACGTACAAAGTATTAAAATACTGTATCATATATTCAATGTCAATGACGCATGCATTGCAGTTTGTTAATAATTATAACAGCCACTGCAAGGGATTCGACAAGATTTCCCAGTGGGCCTTCAAAACCAGAGGTGCCTTCAATCATTTATAGGGGTGGGCTGAGCCTACCATACCCCCCCCCCCTCTTCCCCCAACGAGTAAATGATCAACATTAGTTGTAGTTATTATTTTTATTTTTATTATTATTATTATTATTAAACAATGCGTAGACCCTTTGACCCCACCCCAACCACACATACATAGAACATTATAAAGGGGCTAAGCTTCTTGTAGCTTCCTTCGTGTCAGTGAAACTGTTGTAACTTCTATACCTCCCTTCTATAACAATGAGTTTCAGTTAATACTGATATGAAAAGTCAGTTCTGTATCCTTTACGAGAAGTTGCAGAATTAACCCTGGCATTTACTGGCTGTTGTGGTTATTTTAGGCAACTTTACGTTCAGTATTTTGCCATAGCCCACTAAATGGTCGACTCTCGATACCAGTGTCAAAACCAACCCAAGGTGGTCTGCTGCCTAATTGCCTGCAGCTGGGATTGAACCAACATTACAGAGCGCATTGGAGTCTAAGCCAAAGATGTCGACAATGCTGTATAACACCTGCCTTATTAAAGAATAGGTTTTTAAATGAATAACTCTAAGCTAGAACCAGAAGGCTAGAAATAGGGGCTGCGTGGTCTCGAGGCATAGTGTCTGCTTCGAGTGCTAGAGGTTCCTGGTAAGGGCTGGGATTTTTTCACTTGGGTTTGGACTTCAAGTAATTTCCCCTGGTCTTTGGGTAGTGAGATCAGATGCCTGTGTGCATTTTTTGCGCAGTTAAAAAAATCCCACGACAGTTGTAAATCGAAAAGAGTAGCCTAACGGCGCTGCCCAGAAAAAATTTGGAGTTAAAAATTTGCCCAAAGTATTTCTGGATCTTCGCCGGTGCTACAGAGCCTGTGCACTGTGTTAAGCTTCTTCGAACTCAGACTTAAGTTAGAAGAAGAACGGAGAACTTATGGGTTACTACCCGTGTGCAATGATGTTGATCTGTTGTTCAAACCTCAGAACAAGTCAAATACGCGAAAATTAGTATGCTGCGTATCAGCAGTTACCAGCTTTCCTTTGAAAGTGTCAATAACTGACTCTATAATAACGATGAATATATATATATATATATATATATATATATATATATATATATATATATATATATATATATATATATATATATATATATATATATATATATATATATATATATATATATATATATATATATATATATATATATATATATATATATATATATATATATATATATATATATATATATATATATATATATAGACACACACGCGCGCGCACGCGCGCGCACGCACGCACGCACGCACGCACGCACGCACGCACGCACGCACGCACGCACGCACGCACGCACGCACGCACGCACGCACGCACGCACGCACACACACACACACACACACACACACACACACACACATACACACATACATACATACATACATACATACATACATACATACATACATACATACATACATACATACATACGCATGCACGCACGCACGCACACACAGGCAGACAGACAGACCAGACAGACAGATAGACATATGTATAAAATGTGTTTATGAATGTGTGTGGGTATAAAGAAAAGACAAATGAGAGAAATGAAGTGGGCAGGTGATATTTACAGTAATGAATATCAAAGTCTCAGAATGCCTAAGAATAAAACGAAAAAAAAAATATGCACACTCACACATGAGCACACAAACCACCTTGCATTTCCAAGGCATTTAATACACAAGTATCTTACTTCAACGGTTCTTCTTCTTCTTCTTCTTTTTATTATTATTATTATTATTATTCTGCTTCTGCTGCTTCTGCTTATGCTGCTGCTTTTGCAGCTTCTTTTGCTTCTGCTTCTGCGGATGCTGCATTTTATTCTTCTTCTTTTTCTTCTTCTTTTTTTTCTTCTTCTTTCTTCTCCTCCTCGTCCTCTTCTACCTCTTCCTTTCTTCTTCTACGCACACACCCACATGAGCACACACACTACTTTTTCTAAGACATTTAATACAATAAGTATCTTTGTATCTTACTTCAAGGGTGATCCTCTACGTAGACCAAAGGCCAGGGCTGATGGAAAGAGACTTTCGCCATAGATCATAAGTTCACAATTTCTTCTGGCAACATACTCCGCAGTTGATGTTTCCAAGAATATGGCAAAGTTACCGTTGGAAGTTTTAACTCTGTGAATACCCTAATGATAACAAATAGACACAAACATTATACAGAATTTGGCAATTACTGTTTGATGTCTTAGTTATTTCCTCACCCTATTCTTGCTGCTGCTCCTAATTATCTGTCTTCTTCATCCTCACCTTGATCTTCTTCCTCTTGTTCTTCTTCTTTTTCTTCTTCTTTCTTCTTCTTTCTTTTCTTTTTCTTTTTTTCTTCCTCTTCTTCTTCTTCCTCCTTCTCCTCTTCTTCTTCTTCTGCTTTATTTTCCTCTTCTACCTCTCCTTCCCCTTCTCATTTCCTGTCTCCTTCCCTTTCTCCTTCTCTTTCACTTTCCCCTTCTCCTCCTCTTTCTCCTTCTCTTCTTCTTTTCTTCTTCTTTTTCTTCTGTTTCTTTTGTTATCTCTCAATGAGGAAAAGCTAATCAAGGAAACATTTAAGCCTGTTGTAGTCCTAAACTGTCACACACGTTAGTGTGTGAGCGTGCGTGTGTATATATGTGTTTGCCCTGCATGTGTGTTTTACCTGTATGTGTGTTTGTGTGCAGCTAAATTGTGAGCTGAAGTAACTTCCTTTCAGTCCTTTTCTTTAGCCTTCTCCTACGGAATTCATAGTAGCTTGCAGTCTTACTACATTTGGAATTCATAGTAGCTTATCTTATTATTACATTTGGAATTCATAGTAGCTTACCTTCCTACATTTTGATTACCTTATGGACACCGACACACACTGGTGTTGTTGATCTATGCCATCGTAGTTTTATGTTCACATAATTTCTTCGATAACATACCTCACTGTAGCTATCAATCCAGGAGTTCTTAGAATTCATCTTTTCCCATAGCCTTTTGAGTGTGGGATTAGGACTTTTCCTTAGCAAGCTCTGTAATGGAATCAATTATATTGATGGAAGTGAAAATGCAAAACTGACTAGAAGTCATTTGTGTTGGCGATACTGAAAATGCATCCAATTTAATTATAAGTACACAAAAAACACTTTAAAAAAAAGATGTTGCAAAGCATAGTATTAAAAAAAGAGAAAAATAAAACCACACACACACGCACACACACACACAAAACACACACATGCATGCGTGTGAGCCTGTGTGTGTGTGCATGTGTGTGTTTATTTAAAGATGTTTTAACTGTCCTGTATTGATTTTTTTTTAAATCAGTATTTTCGTACCTTTTGGTGTGCTCTTATGTGCTCCCCCCCCCCCAATTCCCCCAAACTGTTGGCAGCATGTTTTCAGGTTTGAAAATCTTTACAATGGTTGCAGTTCTTTATCAGTATAATATTTAAGAAAGCTCTCACTGATATTGATTGTCTTATATAATTGTGGGGCTTTTTGAGGCCAAGGTGTCTCTTTTAGCTTGGAAGGAAGTTTTTTTTAAACATTTTTATATACATTTGTGTGTGTTTGTGTGTGAGTGTGTACAATGCATATGTGTGTTGTATGTGTATGTGTGTATGCCTGTGTGTGTATGGAGTGTGTAGTGGTGTGTATATACAAACTCCACTGCGAAAAGTAAACTGAAACGAATATATTTTCACTCAAAAGAAACCATGTTCATACTGATGACACTAACTGCATAGAAAACAAACACACAACACACACACACACACATATGCACGCACACACGCATGCAAGCACACACACACACACACACATGTTCTGAAGGCTCTTATACAGTCTAGGCTTGACTTTCGCTTGATTTTTAGGGCATCTGTGGTGTAGTTGATCTAGTTGAGCTGCGGATTTCGTTTGGAATGTTTTTTCGACTGTGACCAACGTGGTGGTGTGAATTGTAGATTCAGAAAATGGTGCGATGCCTGTTGTCGCAATATTGGTGGCGCCCGTATGTGATTAAAATTGATTGCGTGTGCAACTGTTGATCTGTTGATGACTTCTGATACCATCCATGGTGAACTGCATTTCTAATGTCGGACTGTTTGTGTTAGCACTTTGGAGGGCTACTGTATGATTTTAATGTGTGTGTATGCTAGTGCATATGCTGAGACAGCAGTCTGTCAATCTTTCCACAAAGGACTGTGATAAACATTCTGTGTGTTTTTCATTCGCACAGGAGCGGAGCAACAATGGGGTGACCAGTTTGCTATGAAGCTGAAACCAAGACTACCAGACTACCAGACCAGACCAGTTGATCTATGTGGTCCTGTTGCTATTTACTTTTCCTATGGAATAGACATAGGTTCCCACCCCCCCCCCCCCACCACCCCCCCCCCACCCCGAAAAAAAAATCTAACTTAGGTCTTCTGGTTTGTCAGCATCTGGTGGTTTTGTGTCAATTTGGTTGATACTTCCTATGTTTAGGATACAAAAGCAAAGGTTGTTGATCATACCTTTGTCTCACCCCTGATTTTAATGGGAACCAGTGTGTGTGACCAACTCTTGTTCTGACAGTTCTTTCACTTCTGTACTGATTGCTCCTATAACGTTTAGCAGCATTGCCTTTATTCAATAATACGCAAGAACTTCTCAAAGTAAACCTCTGTTTGCTCAATCGAATGCTTTCTCTTGATCTATGAAGGCAATGTTCATTTGATTGGTGAATTATATTGCCTTTCACTGATTTGTCTTAGGGTGAATACAGTAAGCAATCAGTACACCGATGCACACCGGCTTATTAAATAATTTAACTTAAACAGTGTACTTCTAGATTACGATGGTTAGAGGCAATTAAATTAAACTTACTTCAGTTGACCCGAAATTAATAGCCCCGATGCCGATATTACTCTCTAACAGGTCTTCATAAGTTCTGAACGGCATCTCTGGTAGCTGCTCTGGTCTGAATGAGACAGAAACAGAAGTTTGAACATTTTATTTTAGTGAAATTAGTATTATTAAGTGAACAAACATTGTGAAATAAATAAATCTTCTCCGCATACATGGTGTTGTAATTCCTCACTATAGACCATCAAAAAGCAGCACCGATTGATTTATAATATAGTGGGAACAGCATCCTATACCCGAAAACCTTGCCTTGGAAAATATCTATATCTTACCTTTGGGTGTCATCAGTGTTAACATGATGGTTAGTACTTTTTTATTATTCTGATTATTATTATTATTAATATTATTATTATTATTATTATTATTAGCAGCAGCAGCAGCAGTAGCAATAGTACAAAAACAAAAGTGCATGCTCTTGAAGCCATTAAAAAATGTCTCTGCTATCTCCACAATGAAGGTTGGCTACAGAGTACCACTGTTGTCTTTGGGAATTTTACATGGTGAGGTCCCAATCTCTTCCACGGTGTGACTCTCGTACAGTAACAATTTTTTAACCATCCACCGCGGGGGGACGAAAACTATTTATTCGATGATAATGAAATTTTTAACCGCATTCTCTAATCTCTAGGTCATTGAGCCACACCTTCAAGCCATTAGCGCCTTGCTAATATAAAGTAAGTAGGTAGTTGTACCCCACCAGGGCATCACACAAGCGATAAACACCAGGTGACACAAAGTGCCACCATGCGGATGAGGATCACCTGTGGAGAGGTCCAAGAAACCCCTTTCAGCCATCTATGGCTAGGCTATATTTATGCCCCGGCTATATTCAGGGCCCCGGCAGAAGCCAGGGTGGGGCTTCAAGTAACGAAAAAATTGCATCCCACATGTGGAGGACCTTTAATATAAGATCAGTAAAGGACCCTTTAAACTTGGTTGGTGCACCCATATATGGTGTTAGACCAATCTGCATTGAATGGAGGATGCAATCAAGATCAAGCTATTGTCTTCATCTGCCAAAACCAAAGTATCTACAGCGTTATCAATAACTCCATCTCAGTATGGTAAGCAATTTTTTTTTATTTTAAAACCCAGCCCCGGCTGTCGTCAGGTGCCTGAGAAGAAGAAGTCAAATTCCATGACGGGAGCATGCAGAGCAGGAGCCTACCGATCTTCAATAGATGGTCCACCTTCAACAATTGTTTCAGTTTGTTTATCCCTTAGACCTCGGCAAACTCAAAAGAGCCGAAAATCTGCAGCAGGAAGAATACAAATTGTGAGCCAAATATCTTTTTTAAGAACCTGTCAAGAACCATGTTTATTTCTTCGAAGTCAAAAACGATTTGTGACCCGCTGGCCGAGCCACACTCAGTTCGCTAACGAGCCACATGCAAGCCACAAGCCGCGATTTGCATACCACTGCCCTAGACAATCTCGGTGGGTTGGCCGACCAGGACCAGGGGGTTGGCCTCGGACATCTCCTGCTGCACTTATCGGACAAGACGTTTATGGCAACTGCATAAGAAACTGATTACGGTGATGGGGGAAAAGGGGAATGACAATGAAGTCTGTGTATTAGTAGATATGATTGATCGGCAGAACTGCCAGAAGAGATACTACTCAGTAAAACTAAAAAGTTTAAGGTGTAAAGGTTCCCCCCTATTTTGGACACTCTATTTCTTGAACAGAAAAGCTGTGCAGAGACTTACTTACACTAAAGAAAAAGTGTGAATATCTGGCTAATATGTATCAAAAATACCAGAATTATTATGACCTTTTAAATTAATGTGAGTATGTCAAGCACTGCATGGCTCTTAACTGACATTGTGAGACTCTTCCTGCACTGTACAGAAAAATAGTTTTGGACCATTTAAAATATAGTTTCCCGGATGCTGATAGTGCAGTCAGAGTGTTCTTGCATAAGAGGGTAACCAACTGTACAGGAGAACGTTCTTTTTCAAAACTGAAAATTATTATTTTTTCTTGCATGTGTGTGCTTCCTAGCACAATGGGGAGCATGGTTTAAAATGGTTTTCACCCATGTGCATGCAAAGTGACATCCTGACTTCAAACCAATAGCAAAGCAGTTATGTGAAAAGAAATGTCACAAAAGCTTGTTAAAATAAAAAGCTTGTAGTAGTTTGTATACTGTGCCATTTAATCTCAGTTTGTGTTTTAACATCAGTTATCTTAGAGTAAAAGAAAATATGTTTAATACTATCGACTATTTACACTCCATTCCTGTGAGTTGATGTCGTTAGGGCCACAGCACACAGATTTGCCCGGGGGCCCATAAAGTTGTTAAGACTGCCCTAACACACATGATTTTCCATGTCTTGATGTCAAACTGTTCAGCATCTTCCCTCTCAGTATTCTTCTCTCAGTATTCTTCTATCTGTATTCAACTTCACCTTTCACATTGTCACAATGTACTCAACAATAGGGCCTATGCTGTTATAAGTCTGCAGTAAGGATATAATGGACAATTGCAAGCCTTACCTGGAGAGCATGTAGACAGTCAGATTGGCTGTGTATGCTATCAGTGTGAACAGCACAAACATCCACCAGAAAGCTGCCATGATTCGCCCAGAGATGGAGTGAGGTGCCTCTCGGAAACCTGTTTTATGGGATACAATAGTTTCTATATGATTATAGTTTCTGCATTGTTTATCTCAGTGCTATGTTTCTGTAAATGTTGAAAACCAAAAGAATATGTTGGTAGTTGAAAAATAATTTTTTTTTAAACATATGCTGTATTTGGAAAACAAGGGGATTTAGGAAACAAAGATGTCAGAAATCCCTTGATGAATATTGACATATTGATTTTTCAAGTGTGTGAAACATTAATATTTGTGAAGTCTATATCAGTATACACTGAAGATAAGAGGAAAAAGATTATTTTTGCTTTAATTAATAGTAAATAAATGATAAAGTGACGGAAATGACATTCTACTAACAGTCATCTACACATTCCCCAGATACTCATCAAATGGAAAAAGTAAATCATCTACATACCATGATTTGATTTGATTTGATTCTAGAACCGACATCACAGCACTCAGGGCATTCCCATAAGCGCTCCGTCCCTATCTTCAGCAGCCAGCGAAAAGTTATGATACTAATGGTGCCAGTAGAATTCCGAAGTGTACACACTCTCCAACGAGGCACCAACCACGTCTGCCTTATCATGTATCAGTATTCCACCAAGTTGTGCAGAGCCAGCCAGTCTGTCCACCTGTTCATTTCCCAAAACACCGGCATGACCTGGTGAAAAATCCAGACAATGCTCCTCACCCGTGTCCTCCGTAACGAAGCATGCCACTCTGCACGAAGCATACACGAAGATGGATAGATAGATTAGATAGATCGATTAGACTGACAAGACAGACAGACAGATAGACAGATGGACAGACAGACAGACAGACAGACAGACAGACAGACAGATGGACAGACAGACAGACAGACAGACATACAGACAGACAGACAGACAGACAGACAGACAGACAGACAGACTTGGACAGAGGGCGGCAAGGTTTACCCGTGTTCGTTGCATGTCCTTTTTAAATTGTACGTTCATTAATGGCATTAATGACATCATCCCTGTCCAGTGCCGGGTTCTTTGCCTTGAACACCCGCGTAGCCTTACATTAAGACGAACGTTGGTCAAGTTATTACTGATGCATTTAATGAGAGAATACATTCATATCTGATAAAGCCAGCCTGGATTTTCTTGAGCATATTAATTGAATCGCTCATTATGCATGTGAAAATTCTTGAGTATCCAGCTATATTGTATCCATTATCTCCACTGTGAGACTGCTGGTTGTAACAGCAAAGGCACCACTCATCTCTTTAATTATTTTTCAATGCATAGAAATCACTTAACGATGATGACCCTGATGGTGCATGAATGAAAAAACTAGAATGTAATGATGAAACAGCCGACACTTACCTTGCCATGTCAGTGTACTGAGTGCAAACAGATAACTATTTCTGAGTGTAAAACTGTTCTTGGCTCCCCTCGGATCTCTGTCTGCAGCGACGTTTCCCCATTCGTAGGGACTGAGTGTGCCAATGACGAAGAAGACGAGTCCAATCAGGAATAGAACCACAAGGAACAGAGCCCAGTAATCTATGGTCAAAACATAAACTGCCACTGTAGTGCTGGTCACATTAAAACAATAGTTACACAGACTGTTGGAAGAAATAATCAAATGGCAACAGAAAGACACACATACATACATATGGTCCTTTTCTCAGCCTTCTACTTACCAATAGGCCATAGTGGATAAGCGTGCCAGGGGATTCGGAAAATCGCTGTATCATCAATAAAATATATATGTGTGCATATATGTGTATATACATGTAAATAGATATGTGTGTATATATGTGTGTGTGTATATATATGTATATATATATTTATACATATATATATATATATATATATATATATATATATATATATATATATATATATATATATATATATATATATATATACACACAAGTATATAGATATGTGTGTATATATCTGTATATATATTACAGGGCGGTTGGTACTCTGTGTTGTAGTTTACAACTAGAATGCAATATCTGCGCCCTTCATCCCAACACCTCCGATTTTAACAAACTGATAACTTTCCACAGCTTACAACACGCATGTTAGGGAGCAGTCTGTCCCTTCTTTACCAGCAAGAATGGAGGCCCAGAACCTATTTGGGAAACGTGAGTGACCATCTTATACTGCCTGTCAGTGATAACACTTGAACATTATAGTAAGTACAAAGTAAAGGATCCTCTTCCCTGCCTTCAGGGGCATTGGACATATAGGTTTAGACCTATCTGTTTTAGACCAATCGACACTCGGTGGGAGATATGGCCAACATTTCTTGGTCACCTTTACTTCCCTGGACTATACCTGGTACCTACTCAAGACTGGGTCGATCTGGGAGCCAAAGTCATGTTTGTAGAGAAATCAACTCCGGCTCTGTCAGAACCAGAACCCACAAACTTCCGATCCGCAGGAGAGTATCTAGCCGCTACACCACGGCGACTCCCTCTAAAATATTATGAACACAGGAGCATTTTAGTAAAATCTCACTCACCGTTAGAGACTGGACGAACTAGGTAACCAAGTCCAAGGTCAGCCCATGTTGGTTTGTGGACCAGAAGATTGACACTGTTGGACATGTAGGGTTTCGTGAAGTCAATATACTCCTCCCGTTCCGGTGTTACGGTCAAGGCAGCACCACCAATGTCAGCTCTCTGGATAAAAGACACGTACGTATCAATGCATGTGTGTATACATGAATGAATGATAGAATTGAGGATTGACTCTGGGCATTCCAACACATGCTCAGTCTCCTTCTCCAGTAGCCAATGAAGAATCCAAATGCTAATAGTACCTGTTCTTCTGCCTTTCTTGGTTTGTTCGTTTGTTTGTTTTAGTATCCAGAAGCCATAAGTTGTTAACCCTTAGGCTCGGTATTATGGATATCGCAACCTTTCGGCCTTGATTCCATTGTAAATACCGTAAATCTGGGAGAAATGTGGCTTTTCTGCCTACAGCCGGGAGTGAACCCAGACCACAAGGAGTTTGTCACCCACTCACCGTGCAGTCCGGTTTAGCCACATACGCTAGAGAGACGGGCGCCTTTCTTTGTAAATGTTGAGTACAAATTTGGCTATTTTCCGCATAAAATATGACATTTTTATTCAATTTCTGTGAAAATGTGTTGATTTTGGCTACCAAAATTAATTTTCCTTCAATCTTTAACCAGTATGTACCTATAGCAAGCATTGTTTCCAGCCGATATAATCAAATTCAGTTTGGGGGTTTAGCCTGTCCTTAAGCAAGTAGAGTTAATGAGGTTTCACTGTATTTACTTGTTTCCTTTATGAAGCCACACTAGGGGCTTGGTGAAAGGAAAGAGGAGACGATACAGGCAAGGAAAGATATCCACTCAAAATATGGCAGACTGGATGAGCGACAAATACAAGGTGGAAAACGTGCAACGTATCTGATGACAGAAAGTTAAAGACTTGATCATGCCAACAACATCAACTTGGTAACCCAACGATCAACTGTGTTATAGGACCATTAGAGAAATAGACTACAGAAAAGACTCCTACCTCGGGCTGCATATTCACTACCAATACGCTTGATCAGTGGTTCTCAACCTTCTTAATGCTGTGACCTGTTAACACAGTTCCCTCATGTTGTGGCTTCACCAAACAACTATTTTCCTTCATAACTTCAATAAATATGTGTTTTCTGATGGTCTTATGCGTCACCCTTGTGAAAGGGTCGTTCGACCAAAAACAAGGGTGGCGACCGGCAGGTTGAGAACCACTGTGCTAGCTGATTGTTCCTGATTGGAAATACACACATTTATGACTGTGTATGCAGAAAATGGCAAGTTGCTGATTGCCATAGAACTGCAGTAATCTGCAACTACTAGTTTATCTTGACTGCTGCTTACATCAATTACAAACTGCAATTTTAGTGACAGGCTGTTGGTGTTGGCACATGTGACGGCTACCTTATGCATTTAATGTATGCGAACTGTTGCATTTTGCCGGGTCTGCTGCCTGTTTGACGTTTCGCACGGGACACTGATGGCCTGCTGTGTGATTTTCACTGGAACAAGAATGGAACAATTAAGATCTGACCCATTTGCTGTGAAGTTTGAACCGCCACAGATAATTTATATCTATAAGATTCACTGACTCCGCTAAAGACACTCACCCCAGACAAGACATCCCCGATGACACCAGTCCAGCCTGCTTGCCTGTTATAGCCGGTGGTTCCATCGGATGCCTGAATAAACCTGTATGTGAACCCAGCCTTCTCGGCGATTGCATCGAGCAGATCAACCAGAAATCCTGCATACTCCTCACCCGAACTTGTTACCCTGCGTGAGATGAATGGTTCCTGGTTGGAAATACAAAATCTTATAAATAACATTACATGTGAATACAATTTTTTAAAATTAATGTGCATCCTTCTCACTCATGTTGGTCACCTTGCCTAATATTACGTTATTTTTCACAATGCATACTGGGCATTCCCATGCGTGCTCAGTCCTCTGATGCAGCAGTCATCCAAAGGTAGCTGTACTGACTGCATCCATAAGAAGTTTGTTAAAATGTCTCTTATTTTGACCTTGAAGTTGACTATTATAACTCTTATCTTGACCTCAGTAGGTCTTTTACTTACAGAATGTCACTCTTCAATGTCTTGTACCCCACCTTCATGAAAGTCTGCCTCTGCTTTGTCTTCCTGAAACTGAATTCTCCATCACCACTCTGTCCAGGCCACCATACGGTCTACATGGCTAAAATACCTCAAGACAGGATACTGCTGAATCTGTTCGATGCTCACATCATGCAGGATGTCAGTGTTTTGCTGCTTCTTAGTCCATGTTATTCTAAAAATGTTTCTGCAGTATTTCATTTCAGAAAGCTCTGCTTGTTCTCTTCAGTGATTTCCCGATTCAAATCCATAAACTGCCATGGAAAAGATTCAAAATCTTAAAATTTGTACTTTAACTCACTTGCAGGTACTGTGCCAAAATATTCTTCAGGTTGTTGAGCCTCTGCATTTGCTAAATCGAGTCATTTTTGACTTGTTTTGTACAGTCGCCATTGATGTTTACAACTGAACCTGAATTTTCTAAATATATGATAGTGTTTGTTAATCGTTTCATTGTCAGTTTAAAAACATGGTTTGTCTGATGTATCCATTGTGTGATGTGCCATAAGTTTAGAGAATTGAAATGACCCTTGAATGACTGCATTCTCTAAAGCAGTGTTCTTTAACCAGTGATCAGCAGATGTTTCCTGGTGGACTGCTAAAAAAAATGTCCGCCTTCTTGTGACTGCAAGAACTTGTTTGTGTGAAAAGATTTTCTCAGCCATGTCAATAATAAAAACCAAACAGCCAAGTCTCAAACTCAAAGAGCAGCAGAAGTCACATTAGGTAACAATTGTATTTTGTTGACATCGGATTTAATATATAAACTGCTATCTACATCCAGATTGTTTCTGTTGTGGTTTAGCTATTTCGTGGTCAGCAAAACAATATATCCTGTTTTGCTGAGACGAGGAACACTGCTAAAGAGAACTTGTAATGACCACATACCACACTCTCTTCCAAAGATACACATGCGGGCGCGGGTGCACACACACACACACAGTTTGCTATTACCGTATGTGTATACAATCAGCAGACAAGCTGAAAAACATTTACTTGCAATGGAAATGTAGTTTTGGGAAGAATGCAAAGAATATGTCAAATAAAAAAATTTAAAAAAACATGATTTCCTGGTTGAGACAGTAGAAAGTCGCAAACTGTTTAGAACAGCTGTTCTCTACTTTGAGGGTCGAAAGACCCTTTCACATTGGTCACCTAAGACCATCGAAAACACATATTGTCTGAAGTTATGAAGTAGCAACGAAAATAACTTTATGTTGGGGGTCACCATAACATGAGGAACTTATTAAAGGGTCTCGGTACTTTAAAGGTTAAGACCCACTGGATTAGAACAATTAGACTTGACAATCAGTGTGTTTCGAAATGTTTAAAAAAGGAATGAACTCGATCATTTGGTAATAATTTGCAAGATTTAAGCAAAGAGGAAGGCAAAGAGATAAATACATGAATGGGTAAGCCATGTGAATAGAGTGAAACAAGAACACTGACCAAATCTGTGATTTTGGTGATCGTGTGAGATGGCGAAACCAGACATCAAAAGCTTACCTGAATGGCACATGAGGATAATGCAGAAATGTAAATGAGATGCAATTTTAAGAGGTTCTCAGAGATGATAACAGAGCTCTGTTATATCAGAACAAGTGAGTTACCTGATCGACGGTGCTAACAATCAGTTCAGGTCTGGTAGCAGGAGTAGATGTGTTCAACTGTAGAGAAAAGATATTTATCATATAAACAGCAGAGTAAGCAATCAAAGTTGTACTTATTCTCATGAAAAATGCATTTATTTATAATTTGTGCTTATAATTTTACTTCTTCTTTTTCTCCAATTTCTTTCTTTTCTTTTTTATTTCTTTCTTTCTTTTTTTCATTCTTTCTTTTTTTCTTTCTTACTTACTTCTTTTTCTTCTTCTTTTTCTACTACTACTCCTCCTCTTTCTTTTTCCTTCATCTATATACTATACTTCACACCTTTTTAATTTCTCCTTTCTGCTCATTCGTTTTTCTCTACTTTTGTTTTCATATTCTACTAATTCATGCAATTCCTCTTTTTTCTTTCCTGTTTTCTCTTTTCTTTTGTCAGCTTCTGTATTCGTTTTCCTCATTTCTTCTTTCTTACTTTGATTTTATCCTCATTCTTTTTTTCTCTTTCTCCTAATCCGTTTTATTCTGCCTCCTTACTTCAGCAACATCTTCATTATAATCATAATTATCGTAACACATGTCATGGTTTCCCCTCTTCGTCCTTCTTTCTTTCTTTTTTCATCATTCTTTCTTCTTCTTTGCTTTATCATCATCCCATTTTTTTTAAACTTCTCCTTCATTTCTACTACTGCACCTTCAGATCTTCTGCAGCATCTGCTAACGCTGTTGTTGCTGGTTTTGCTTCTACAGCTGCTTCTGTTACCAATACTACTTTTACCGCTACTACAACGACTAGTTTGGCAACTAATTTAACTGCCACCACCACTACTGCTTACTACGACTACTATATACTACTGCTGCTGCTGCTTCTGCTGCTGCTACTGCTGCTCCTATTTCTATCGCCACTTCCATTTCCTTCCTTCAATATTTTTGAGCAGTTTCTCCAGCCTTTTCTTACCAACTAGCTAATATATGTACAGATATGTGCAGTCATGTCAATCTGTAACCTGCAACAGAAGTGACATTTATCAAATATACTTGTTGATAATGCACTGGCTTCCATGATGCTAAACTATTACTCATACTCGGTCTTCATGATTTCGTACAAGTATACTCTGTGAGTCATGTACATTTCTTCTCTTCTTTTTCTTGGTGTTCACCGCCTGCAAACTCTGGTGGAAAGTGCTGGTTGTTCGTCCACTTCTGGACTTTCCTCTTATTATAAAACTTGAATTTTGAGTGCACATCTGTTTTAAATCTCTTGCTTATTTACATGCAGACTGTTGATTCTCTGCCTCTATGGCAGATGCACTCTGACTTGAAAAGAAACTCAACAATTTGTAGCCTTTTATGACATGCTTGTTGGTCAGGAGGGAGGAAGGGAGTTGGCCGCCGTTGCTCCATTCGATTTTTATTAGATTTTGCAGCAAAAGTATTCTAGAGGATAAGGTATCCAGTTTTATATTATTGCTCATAGCATTCGGAAATGGCAGTTAGCTCTTCACCTGAATCTATACACCTGGTCAAACAGGTGTGAAAGGTAATGAACGAGCGGAGCAACTATCAGACGCAACGCATGCAGGAAGAAGCATGGACAGAATAGGTATTATCAATGCTGTACGGGTTAGGTAAGTGGATAACGACGAATCTCTGATACTAATACGAATGTATAACTTGGCAGCTAAGCAAGGTAAAACATGTCTATGAAGCCGAGATAGGATACATTAAAACCACCTCCTCACAGGAACAATCAGTAGAGGTACCTTGGAGTGGCTGCTGCATCGGTGGACTGAGCACGCATGGGAATGCTAAATGTGCACTGACAGTGATTGTGACAGCATAACATAACATAACATTCTTCTTTTATCGTCTACTAGATTTTGGCTTTGCCAACGGGCCACCCCATCTGCTTCCTTACTGTGCCAGTTAAACTCAACATCACTGACCCATTGGAAGAGTAGTGAAATATAATCAGTCCCGGATAAAGCTAATAGCTCACACATGCTGTGAATGAGTAAGGCAGCAGCTAGAGATGAGAACAAACAGTCCCACATGACAGAGCTAAGATGTGATTATGTTGAAGTTGCGGTAAATGTCAGTAACTATAAATATGTAAACGACTGCTCTCTAATTATTAGTAAAGTAAATGACCTTTTTTCATGCGGTATGGGGCATATGTCTAAACCTATATTTTATGGGCCAGTCGGCACTTGATAGGTGATGTGGTCAGCATCACACCGACCACCTTTACTTCCCGTGACTGTACCTAGTACCCATTGAATTCTGGGTCAACTTGTCAGCCAAAGTCATTTTTGAAAAATGTCCGACTCCGTCACGGACCTGAACCCACGACCTTTGGATCCGCAGCCAGTGTCGAGCCACTACACCACGGCGACTCTCTCACAACAATATTGCATCGCTCAAATGATGCTAATTCATATTCTAATTGACCACTCGGCACTGAGTAATGTGGTCGACAACCTGCTGACCGTCAGCAATTCCGAAAACTCTACATTCGCATTTTAGGAAGAGTCCACCATAGGGTCAGTTAAACAAAACAAACTGTCCCAGTGCAACTTATGGCTATCACCTTCTGGTTATTGAAGCGCCGGCAAGGGTCTAGTACAGCGTTTCTCAACCTGTGTGTCCTGTCGAAGACCATCGGAAAAAAGCATTTTAACTGAAGTTTTGAACTAGCAACGAAAATAATTATATGGTTTTGTGTGGCCACCAGTCGGCTCTGTGGCTAAGTCGATGCGAACGCTTCGCTCGTAATGCCGGGTTCGATCCCAGCTGCGGACAATGCGCCTTGCGTTGGTTTCGACAGTGGTATCAAGAAAGCCGACCGTCCAGGAAAGCAATGGCAAACTACTTGACGTAAATTTGCCTAGAAAAACCACACAACAGCCAGCGGCTGTTAGGGTTGGTTCTGCAACGTCCTGTAAAGGATACGCAACAACCTGTGACCACCACATAAGCAACTGCATATATAGGTCGCGGCATTAAGAAGACTGAGAATGATTGGTCTTGTAACTTGTAAAAGAACCCTTTTCCACGTCAGATGGGATATTTTACATATAGGGCTAGACTTATATTTTATAGACTAATCGGCACTAAGTGGGTGATGTGGTCAACATCACACCGGCCGCCTTTACTTCCAAGGACTCTACCTGGTACGGTTTAAGTCTGGGTCGATTTGCCAGCCAAGTGCATTTTTTCAAAAGCCGGCCTCTTAAGGACCCGAACCCACGACCTTCTGATCCACAGGTGAGCATCTATCCGCTACACTACGATTTGAGTTTGGTTGGGGGGGGGGGGGGTTAAACCAAGAGCCGCCTTAACAAAATAATAGGTTCTTGAGTAAACCAGACTGTCCGGCCCTCTGAAAAACCACTAAAGGAATGTTTTTATGGCAAGTCACTTGACATGCAGATTTTGGCATGGCGCCCCTATGTTGGTGAGGTCCCTGGGCGAGTACCCAGCATCAACACGGTCCTTTAAAGCACCAATTTAAACAAAAGTACTAGCGGTTTTAAGGTGTCGAACCCCAGGTTCTGTCGCCCCTGCCAGGCTCCACAGGTAAGAATCAAGAACAACAACTGACTAGTTATATAATCCTACCCACAGCATTTGCTAAAACTTGGCACGGCTCTTCTAACGTCATTTAAAAGTAGAGGAAACGGTAATGAAGAATGGGCAATGAATCAGCCAGCATAGAGAGCAAAACAAAGAACAATGTTCTTTTTGATAGATATAATGGCGCCATTGTTCTTGGGTTGATAAAGGGGAGTGTTGTGTTGTGTTGTGTTGTGTTTTTGTGTGTGTGTGTGTGTGTGCGTGTGCGTGTGCGTGTGCGTGTGTGTGTGTGTGCGTGTGCGTGTGCGTGTGTGTGTGTGTGTGTGTGTGTTAGAGAGAGAGAGAGAGAGAGAGAGAGATTGTTAAGATCACAGCATCGCTGTCTGGCAAAATTCCAGCGGAACTTTTGGTATGATCAAAGAGAGATCTGTTCTGCGAAATACATTTGTATGTAGGGATACCGTCTCAAAATAATCGTACTGAGAGGGGAGCTCTTAAAGTTTTGTTGAGTTGTGGGTGCTTCAGGGGATTGCATAATAATAAGTAAAGTAATAAAAGGTCCCTTACCCCGCCTTTAGACCTACTGGGAATATAGGGCTAGACCTATATTTGTATAGACCAATTGGCACTTGATGGGCGATGTGGTTAGTATCACGACGACCGCCTTTACTTCCCAGGACTGCACCTGGTACCCACTCAAGGCAGAGTCGAACCTGGGAGTCAAGGTCATTTTTGAAGAAAATTGGCTCTGTGAGGACGCGAACAGAATAATAATAACAAAATTACCTTTTGTTGTTATTATTATAAATTATTTTTATTATTATTATTATTATTATTATTACTTTTATTATTATTATTATTACGATTAGTATTATTATTATTATTACTATTACTATTAATATTGCTATTATTATTTTTACTATTATTATTACTTATTATTACTTATTATTATTATTACTAAAGAAAAGAACAAATGCATCCATACTTCAAGAGCTGAATATTGAAGAGGGTTGGCTAGTAAAGACAATAAAACAAAGAAAATTTATATTTTGGTCACTTGAAACGTCATGGAAAGAGAGAACAATAATGGAGGGGTAATGCCTGGGAAGAGAGAGAGGAAGGCCAAGGACGAAATGGGTAAGGATGTGGCAGATGATCTCCAGATGGGTGTATCAGACGCAGGACATCTTGCTCAGGATAGGAAGGTTTTCCGGAGGGTTGTTATGGCAGCGAGGTTCCGCGAGGGACATGCTACTGAATGAATGAATGAATTATTACTTTACCCATCAAAGACGCAAACAGCGGGGAATGGAGAGAGAAGCAACCACGAAATTCGTTATCTGTTTAAATACCATTGATCTCTGGCTTCGTGATGGTTAATGGACTGAAATGGCTGGGGCATACTGAGAGAATGTCAAACAATAGAGGAGCAAAAGCTGTGTAGATCTAGAGGCAGACAAAGAAGATCGTAGTGACAGACATGCAAACAGTTTAATAAGGTAAAGAGAGGAAAAGAGAGGACCAATCACAGAGATGAATGG